GCATCTCCATTAGTTTAAATTCTGGAGGTCTTTCAGTGTGTTTTCAGCTAGACAAAAGTAGGTTGCTTTGATTCTAAGCAACACTGATAGGGGTGTCTTTGGTTCTTGGCAAAGAGAAAAAATTTAGCAGAAGAATTAAAATTTGAATGACTCAAGATCCTGCTTTTAGATGTGAACACAGAACTTCCATAGGCTTCAGGAGGAACAAGGCACTTCAGAGCAGAAGTTCCCTGCAGACATGGAGGATTGTTGCATGAAGAATTGGAATGTATATAGTCTGCATTTCGCAAGGACTTGCTGCTTTTAAGAATATGTTCTGAAAGTGAAAGAAGAATCTTCAGATTACTGTTTCAGAAACAAGTATTTTAATTAATTTTCTTTGGAGATGTGTTTATCCTTTGGAATGTGAAAGGATTAATATGATTAGATAGAACCACTGCAGGAAATGAAAACTGGAGTACAACTAGTACAACTTGGACTTAATTTAATATATAATATTGTACACACAGAAAATATGAATTGTGAATTATGCCTGAGTCTGGAGAATCCAGAATGACTCTAGGGCCTGTCTGGTGACTGCAGGTCATAAAAATGAAACAGTGCCAAAAATCTTAGTCGATGTTTTAATTGCCTTTAGAGGTGGTTTCAGGATCAAAATGGCCCATTTATGCATTTCCAGAAGTGCATTATCTCAGTGCAGCTTTCAAACAGCTTTGCTAATGGCAGGCTTGCATCCAGTGTGAGTGCACATCTGCTGGCAGACTGATAATTTTCTGGTGCTTTGCCAGCACTTCATTAATTAACCAAGGTGTTGAAGATTGGTTAAAACCCTGTACTTTTCAAATGTTTCCCAAAAGCTAAAAAGCCAATAGGGTGGTTTCTTTGTTTTACAGTCTTAGTTGTACTAGCAGCTCATTTTCAGAGTGTTGTAATGGTACATGGCAAAGAGAAGTACTCTGTATTGTTGTCCTCAGAATATTTTCATACCTGTGTGTCTCAGATGAAACTGAGGCATAAATAAAGCTACTCTTTCAGAAGTACAAAGTTTCTGTCAGCTGCAGACAGATGCATTTCAAGAATTTGACCTGAGGTCCAAAACCACAAAAGGGTATTTCTAAAATGTTCTGTCATAAGCACTGCATGCCTCATCAACACAGTGCTGTGCTGCTGCTGTTAGTTTCACGTTCTGAAAGCACAGGAAGAGAAGTTGGCCAGGATGTCACACTCATTGAAACAGCTGCATCAAGATGCAGCAGTGGAAGCTCTGAAAGGATCTTACCTGGTGAGAAAATGTCCATCGCTTCGAAGGTCCTGCATGCTTACTTTACAGCATTGTTTTTTTCCAAGCAGCATGTTTTAATTAGGAGAGACATCTAAACCCATACAAGGTTATGGATTCTAGATGCTGTTTCTAGATTTATAGTGCACAACTGAAAAAATAATTATAAAAAAACCCCTAAAACAACATTTCCCAGCACAGGGTAGTTTTCTAGATAATTTATATCTGCCTTTACATGATGGAATCTGAGATTTATCTTCATAGATGCAATGTGTATGTTTTGCCTATCTGGCCTCCACAGACCTGGTTAAAAAAGCAGATTTTGTTTCTTTTCTTTTCTTTATTACAAACACCCAAAGGGGCCATCCTGGTTTTTTATCAACCCCCCTATAAAACCCCCCTTCAGGTAACTCTTTCAGTAATCACAAAAGAAACTTAAGTTTTTGAGGGAAAAAAAATAATTCCGGATCTGTGATTAAAAAAGCAATGAATAAAGTCAACATTCTGTTTTCAACAAAGCTTTTCAAGTCCCTACGAGGCAGCACAATCCTAATGCCCTCATATCACGTAGGGGGAATCACACAGTAAGGCTAAATATTTTAGCAAAGTTCATTCCGAAGGCCTCTGGGAGATTTTGGAAAGAGATCCAGGTTGTTTAAATCCTAGTACTCTGGCTTATTCACAGGAACATTCTTGATCTGTAAACATGCCAACATGCCTGCTTTTTAAAGCAAAATTGCTGTTTGTTTGGGAGAGGGCCAGGAAAAGTGTAGGGATTTGCCATGGGCAGGCCCTCGGACAGAGTGTGAGCCAAGCACAGGTGGGACCTGCTGCATGTGGTGCTATGGGACAGCCTGATCTGTCCTCGGTAAGCTCCCTCTATCTCCCAGCTGAGTGTGTGAGCTGGGAAGCAAATAATGAAGTACAACTAATTGTAGCTATGAGCTTTCTTTGGCATTGTCATTTTCTCACACCAGTGCTTGTTGCTGTCTTTTAGGAGTTTTATATTCAAGCTATATGTGTTTGTGACAGAGGCAGTAATAAGGTGTAAAGGTAGGTTGCATGATCAAGGAGTACATAAAGAAGAGAGGCCAAGAGAGAGTGCCTGGCACTCTTAGGTCTTCCGTAAAAAGCTCCGGGATTTTATTTTCAGGGGGGCTGAGCAGGAGGTGGTGTAAAACTGTCATTTCATTCAGCTGTGCATTAAGATGTTAGGCAGGGGTAATAAATGGTGTATAGATGTTGACTAGTCTATAACACAGAGCATAGTATAACTTTTTTAAACCTTGATGATTCATAAACTAGCAAGTTTGACTAGTTGTACATGTGGGTAGCTTTCATGAAACATTTTAAAACGAGTATGATCTGTAGGTCACACTCTCCAATCTTAACTCATAACTTTATTTTGTAGTTAAAATCTGATGAAAGAAATAGGGGAAAGAAGACTGAGTTGGGACTTTTAAAATAGCAGGGATGTTACTGAGTTAGCCTTTTCTTCTGATTTTGGCTTGATCCACACAATTTTTAGTGTTTTGTCAGCCCTTTGTCCTGCTTTAAAGCAATGGGGCCTCTGTCCTGTGAGTAACTTTCAGTAAGTTTAGAAACAGAAATTGTAGTTATATAAAAATGATCTTAGAAGGGGCGGGTGTCACTATTTTTTGTCAACAGCAATGAATATCTTGGTCTTTTTATTCATACATTATCTGCAGTTGGTATGAACGGGGTGTACAGGAAATGGTTTATGAGCCAGAAATACTGGTACACAAGAGCACAAGGCTTAGAAAAGGAAAAACAAGAAACAACAAAACTTCACAATAGGCTGTCAGAAAATGTGTGCCAAAAAGAAAAGGGGAAGAACGTTCCAAAAAGAAACCCTTCAGGCTGCGTTCTCTGTTGGTGCAAACTGATGTCATTCTGCAGTAAGTTTATGTGGTGACCCTAATTTATGCCAGCTCAGGTTCCATCCTTTCACCTTAGGGATATGTGCTATAATTGGTTTCCATGATAAATGTAAGGTTCCTAGCCATGGTTGGTTGGTTGTTGCAGCTGAATTTCCCTTGCTGCATTGCTGTCACAGATGTAAGGATGTGTATTTCAGTTGCGGAAATACAGCTTTGCTTTCAGCATGTGGCACTAAGAAAGACTTTTGGTCCCACCCTTCCCATGGAGTTTGGTGGCTCATTGTCCTATTTTCAGGAGGCTTTTTTGTTCAGTTGTGGGGTGTTTTTTTTTTTTTTTCATTAGAAGGTTTGTTGAAGAAACAATATTTGCATGTACTTGGAGATCTCCAAAGGGTGGGTGAACAAAGCACAGATGGCCATTTGGCCAGAAACAGTGTTTATTCTAGAAGATTTGTTACTGTGATTCTCATAGAAGATAAAGTCGTCCATGAACCTTCCCCCAGGCATGTCTTTGGTACAGTTTATAACCCACTTGAAAGCTCTTGACTTTAACATCTTGCTGATCCAGTTACAAACGTCATCATATAGAGATGGTGGATACAAAGCAGACTCCTCTGGGACCTCTGGTGTGCTGGCTTTCACTGCAAAGACAACCAATCTTTTCCCCTATACAGATGTAAGAGAACCGAGTTGCAGTTGCAACAAGAGCTGATCTTACTAATCCTCTTGCTGTTCTCTTCAAAAACAGTCATTTAGCCATGCTGCTTTCATATAATGCTGCCTCTAGATTTCCCTTGAAATGTCTCCTATAGGAAAAAATATTCTGCTATTCTAGTCCGGTTCTTCAGGTGGTTTGTATTGCTCTTGAATAGTGTTTTTATAGCCATTTTGATAATCTAAAGGCTACCTGAAAAGAATGCATCTGACCAAAGCTTGTCCAAGCATAGAAATTGTTCTAATTAACCCCCACCTTTTCTAGAAATCTTTCTCCCCTTTGTGTGTGCCCACACACAGTGTAGCCTTCTCCTGTAACTGCTTGAGTGTGAGGATACAGGCAGAACAAAGTACTTAAGTATTTAACTTGTATTTACTTTTGGAATCTGCTTCACATCTAAGCAAGGGTTGTCTGCCAAAGGCTTGCATTGAAACTGACTTAATAAAAGATGTTACTTCTATCTGTAAAACTTGCCCTGCCTCAATATGTGTGTGTGTGTGTGTGTGTGCGCACATGCTTGTATATCAGAAGCCGTTTTGACTATTTAGCTTCAAGAACTCTTAAGCGAGCATTTGGAGGCACAGCTTGAAATACAAAGGAGTGTTACAACTGAACCCAGGACAAGACTGTAATAACAGCATGTTGAAATAAAAAAGTGGTATTATGGTATTGAAGCATAGGATGAGAAGAAGCTGGTGTGGCCAGCTTTTAATAAGTTATGGAAGCATGTATGTTCAGTGTTTCAACTCTGTTGAATCTGAGCCCAGAAACTTAATAATGAAAAATGTGAAGCTATTGTGGACAGGAAATGATTTGGATGTAATTTATTGAATTTATCTTCAAATGTCATCTTTTTGCTGAGCAAAATGACAGCTAAATAAAAAATGGCCTTTTTATGGTACAACTCTTCCAACTTTAACTCCACAAATTCTTTCTTTTTATTTACTTTTGATACTGTTATTTAAAAGCACACTGTTTGTTACCTGTTTTAATCTCATCGGGATTAGAATTTGGCAATGCCTCCGTTAACTTTCTAGAGTAAATAAGTAAGAAAGCAGTCATAACATTGCCGTTGATTCTAATGTGACTTCTTTTTTCTAAACAGATGTGTCCTGAAAGCAGCAGAAATATCAGAGAGGTGCAGTGTGCATCATACAATAACAAGCCATTCATGGGTCGATTTTATGAATGGGAACCTTTCGCAGAAGGTAAGGGAAGACAATTTGGTTTTGTATTATTATACAGATTGCGTTTTGGAAAGGTAAATGTGATTTTTATCCACTCAAAGCCATCATGCTTTGACTGTATCTTCCTCATTTTTCTCTATTCATCTGCTGCATTTATTCATGGGCAGACAAATCAGTAATCTCAGATCAGTATTTCTAGTATTTACAGGAATGAAAGCATGTTAATTTCTACTTTGGCTGGTATACACCATTGGCTCCATCCATACTGTTGCAACAGTATTTCAGCTACTACATGTTAACTGTCTTCTTTTTATAATGTATTTACTTTTAATGACAAAGCCTCAGTATAGCTCCATTTCAGTAAATCGGATTGTTATTTAAACCAGTGTTGCATGTGACACATGGTCCTTAGGCATTCATTTCAGGACTGTCTGGCTGTCTAATTTGTATTTTCTAATGCATGTTGGACAGTTGGGATGATGACTATGGAGGGATAGCTGTGTTACGGACTTCCCCAGCTGCATGTTGAACTGATTGTCCTGGGACACATAGCAGTGGCAGCACCAGGAGTGGTCTGCCACCCCTCTAGAATCCTAACCTTTGGAGGATAAAAACTCAGTTGGGGGCCGTAACCTTTCTCCAGAAACATCTTTGTTAATAGCTATTTATTTTGTTTTCTTTATGTAAACAAGAGCTGGGCCCAACTCAGCTGAGATTCATGGTTATTTATGAGGTAAATAATCTTCAAGTGTGTCTCTGGATTCAGAGGAATGTAGTTCCTGGCTTATTTTTTTAAATTTACTTTTTTTTGAAAGTTGTTTTCCACAAAACTTCAAAGACAAAAAGGATTTATGCATAATGAAATACATATGCATAGTTACCTTTATTATTCTGAGGCCATTCTATCACTTCGCTTGAATCACTAGTAGAAGAGTACAATGATGACTTCGGTACCCACAGTCTTCTGTACCAACAGGCTTTGTGTGGCCTTTCCCACATTATGTGCAATGTCTCCCCTCCAAATGGAGACACAGTCTCACGTAAATTTTAAAATGCAGGATATAGGCATCTACTTATCATTTCTAGATTTAACAACAAAGTAGAAGGAAGAGAATTTACCTGTATTTTTCTAAGGGTCTCTTGAATATGGCTTTTATTGCCTTCTGTTTAAGTAGCTACATAGAAAACCCTGCCACACAATTAAGTAGAAAGAATACATTATGCCATGGGGTTTAATGTATTACAGTCAATGTTTGCAGGGATTTCTCTTTGCTGGAAGACTTCAATGCAAATAAAGCCTTCTGTGTACTGTGTTTTACCTTGATTGCAGTGCCTTCCCCTGTATGTCCTAAAATAGACACTGTGGCAAGATTTACATGTTTGCATGTACCTTCAGTGTCAGTGATGTGCTCTGGGGTGATTAGTGCTCTGTGTATGTTTTACTTTCCTTCAGTCTTTAAAACTCATCGGGCTCTCAGCTCCAAAAGGGAGGCAAAATAAGAGATTTGGAAAAGGAACAGGAAAGTTTCTTTCATGATGGTGGGATTTCTCTTGGTTCTCATATTTTTATTGCCCCTACCTTCATCCTAATAGGTTTTCAAGGAGAAAAGGGTTATAGCTACTGTTAATAAGCTGAGGTGTCATGTCTGTCTTGTAGTAATACAGCCTGACACTAAGTTTTGAATGGAAAGCAGTAAAAAGCACGTGTGTAGGGCTGCATCTGGGTGTGTCAGCTGGAAGACCAGCATGTACTGCTGTCATTGTATTGCTCTTGGGGACTGAGGGAGCCCCTTGGTGGACTGCATTGTTTGACCAGCTTTCTCTGAGCCAGCTTTTGAGGTTCTGTGCCTTGCCTTATTGCACAAAGGCACAATGCCTCTTTTGTAACAATAAAGATTCTTCCAAAGATGTGCTGAAGGCAGTATTAGAAGTCATAGTTCATTTATTTTTCCGGGGACTCAAGGAGTGTTGCAAGTGTGTGAAATTCCTTTTTCCTGTACCTAGAAATGGACATTTCTGTGTGTGCTTAGCATGCTAGCATCCTCTTGGTAGTTCCTTTAGATGAGCAGCTTTGATTCACAGGTGATGTTAGCTATTTTTACAGCCCAACTCGAGTCAGTGAAGATTCAGGTAGGTTCATATCTACCTCCTACTTGATCTAATAATGTTTGTTTCTAATGCAGTGATGCATCAGTCCTCATTTTATCTGATGTGGGTCCTGGTTTTATCTGTTGTGGGTATAGCGAAGACTTGCAGAGCTATACCTCTTTATCTAAGATTTTGAACATTAGGTACATACCATGCTTTTAATTAAAGTCATGTTTGGCATTGTGAAGTTGCTGAAAAGAAAGTTTCAGAGCTGTACAACTTTGGCACTTTGTACCATGCATTTAGGCAGAAAAAAGAGCTTGGTACCTCAGCAAGCAATGGCTGAAAGCATATTCTGTGAACACCATGACTTCTCCTACAACATGGCCCCAAAGACTTACTATGTATTAGCTTTGATGCATCCCTTTTTAAACTGCTGTTGACAAGACACAGCCAGCTCTCAGCCAGCTCAGCCCACGTCTATCTCCTTGCTTCATACACAGCAGCTTTGACTCACTCTGCCCTGTGCCAGCAGAGATGACTCAGGGGATCTAAAACATGCCACAGTCATTTCTTTTTTCCCCTCCCCTGCATAGCACAGCTTGCTCCTACTGTTTATATTGGATCAATAAGAGCAGCTAAACCATAATTTACAGCCCTGTCTTGATGGTGAGTTAAGTGTAATTATGATTATTTCTTAAAAATACACATATTTTTATTTCTTCCTCATTCAGATTGGTGCAGCTGCATTTCCAACCCGTTTTATCTGCTACTGCTCCAACACAAACTTCTGTCTTTATTAAAACAGTTGTATTAAAGGGACTGTAAACCTTATGAATTTAGAGTATTTAATGAAAAACCTCTAGTTTGTGTTGGAGAATCAATAGCACATAATGACTTTAAGGGTGGGATTCAAGAGGAAAGATCCCTTTGTGACAGAGGGAAAGCAGCACAGTGACATGACCATAAAACCTCTAAGGAAGTTTAAAGCTGCAGAATCAATGTTCTAATCATTCTGATGATTGACACTGTTTAATTTGAACTCTTTATTTCAGCTAACTTTTATTTTTAATTGTGGTGAAAAACTCATCACCTGAAGTGTTTGATATTTTAATGGCTGTGTGAAAAGAACCTGCTGAAAGGAGAAAACCTATTGATACATTGAAATGGGTGAGTCAGTGGGAGTCTCCCTTAGTGAAGAATAGCTGCGTATTTTGAGAGGAGGGAGATAACTTCAGGGTTAACCTGTGTGAGGTTAAAGAAGAAATAAAATCCTCTCCAGGAATATCTCTACCTTGTAGAGGATCATCTTCAGGAGGATACCTGGATACTCTTGTGCGTGAAATACAGTATTTTCCTGTGAACAATTGCAGCAAATCCTGCTCAACTGCAGACCCCCTTGCCTTGAGTTCTCTTTGATAAAGACAGCCAGGCCTTCGTGATAGCCACTATTTTATATTGCAGTCCTAGCCATGGGTTTCTGTTTGGGCCAGACATGTAGGCACAGGAGCAGTACATGTGCCAAGAGCTCTGCTCTCTTTAGATGCAGAGTCCTGCAGGCATCTTTAGCTTTCCCGGCCTGTGCTGCTCTTGCGGGACAACCAACAAGGGCAGCCGCCAGCAGGACTGCCTCTGCCTGCTTCCCATGTTGGAGAGCACTTGGAAGTCTAGGCAGAGATGTGATTCCATCTCCAGTGTGTAAAACTTGAAATAGCTGAAAACATAGTCTCTGGGGTCTTGGCTTTTTTCTTCCTGTTAAACATAGCACAGTAATACCATAAAGTCTGAGCACTTTCTCCTGAGAGACAATTTAACTTCCTTAAAAAAATAAGGGATGAAAGAGATTTTGGCAAATCAGAGCCTGGTGCATTGAAATGCAGGTGTGATTTGCCCCTAAAAGATACTGAGGATTTGCTCCCTTCCCTCATAGTAAAAGAAATGCAAAATTTTCATGGAAACGATTGTTTTCTTTTTTCAGAATTTTCGTTTTGTTATTTCAGAACAAAATTTTAGTTGTAATTTTTCTAAAATGCAGACTTGATCGAACATTTCCTCCAGATGACATTTGTGTTTGCTTGAAAACAAAAGCTGCTTGCTGGTTGAAAACCAGCTCTAATTTCAGTGCTCCCCTTTCAGGGCAACGTGCTTATTTGCAGGCAGCACGCTGATTCACCTGCATCGCACTGACAGTGGGAATTCCTGCTGTTTCAAATGTATGAGTTATTTGACTTGTGTTAGAGGTCACTGGATGCTAACAAGGGTAATAATAGGAATGAGACATGGCTAAAGGATTGTTATGGTGGTGACTCGCAGATGATTTAGTTCCACTTGGTAGAGTTGAGATGTCGCTGGCTTAAAACACTATATCAAGCCAGACGAGTTTCTAGGAACAGAGCCATGCTCAGATCTTGAAAGCTGTTTAAATAGTTTGTTGCTGGCAGAGAGTGGCTGGAACCTGATGGCCTCGGAGAGGCCGCTGCTCCCTGCTGTTAGCAGGCGGCTGGCCTTGTGAGCATGGCCTTTCACCTGAGCAGGACCGGCAGGGTCAGGGTGAACTCTGGCAGCAAAAGGGATTTCTGGAAGGCCTGGCAGAGTTCATCCAATTCCTTCTGTTTGCCAAGCCTGGCTTCCTCTTGCAGCTTCGCTTTGTTTTTCTATGCGATTGCTGAGAGTCAGAAGTTGTGCACAGCCTGTACACCACATTGCTCTTTGGAGCAGGGTTCGAGGCAGGCTGAGTTTCAAGTGGGATAAAAATTCTTGTAGCTGAAAGCAGCAGTAGCATAAATGAAATGGCACAAATGTCATTGCTGCATTTTCTGTGGTGGGGGGAAAATGGGTCCCCAGTCTCCCAATGCCAGTGTTGCCAAACCTAACTACTGATGAGCACCATAATGAGGGATTCAAAGTCAACTGGAGTGAGAGAGACTGATGGG